GTATATCACTTGCATGGGTGCTACTGCCAACCCCCCATCCTCTAATTAGGCCTACCATTTTTCCTATGTACACGTATAACCTCTTCATTTCTCCCTGTTAAATTCCACCTCATTCTCTTTGATCTGTAGTTCAGATCTTTTTTAATCCCCCCTTCCACAAAATATTTTGTCTTTGTCTTTTTTTCCCCATCTCCTATTTTCTTATCCAGCTCACACACCCCAACTCCCTTAGCTTTCTTCCTGTGTTATCTAAATGGTGCATGTTTTGAAAAAAATAACCTCAGCATTATGGCAATACGAAAAATACTTCCTGTAAATGGAAAAATTGCTTGGAGATACCAGTGCAGTCTCACAAGTTCCTGGCTTATTGCTGCTTCTGGTTTCCTGTGTACAAACATTAGCTGGAAGCCTTATTGGCAGATAACAGCAACAACAACAACAAAAAGGAAAGCAGGCTTGAATACAGTTGTAGGTTTCATGATCACAAGGCAGAAAAATTGGTATCAGAAATAGCATTGGAGCAGAATATTCTTATCATGGCTGTTTATTGGCTGAAATGCCATTTTGACTTGATTAAAAATATAGCTCACTTTCATAACATTATAATGAATTCTTCTCTATGGTCACAGCCTAGCACAGAACAAAATGAACCTAGAACATTGAGCTGGATGGTTGATGGCCCCTAACTTGGTTTTGGATTGTGACCATATACTCATTATTTTGAAAAAGGAAAAAAAACCACTCATATATTCTTTTATTTCACTTCAGATTGTTATCAACAGATGTGGCCTGAAAGGATAATAATATGGGTTCATGAAGTACCATTTTATGGGGAGTTTGTTAATTAAATGATCCCCGTGTATCTCTACTATATTGCTTTTAATCTGCGATCCTTACAAAATTTATTATCAAAGGCTCTGTTTTGGGGGACCCAACAGACATTTGATTATTATTTTTAAAATATAGGGAACATAGTATACCACAACTATGTCTAATATTGCTTTATGACTGTCTCTAGTAATAAAGTTTAGCTTGTGAAATCTGGTCAAATTCTTTATGCAGTATTTTAAGCCCACTTCACATAAATATCCTTCCTTTTCAAAAAGCTGTTTTTAAGTAGGGCCAACTCTGGCTTTGAGGAAGCCCTTATCTAAATATCTTGTGGTGGCTTTCTCGTCCACTGATGAATCTTGTTGGACTTGCTTAATGGTGATGAGCAACAATTCATTTAGTGGCACTAGGTTTCTTGTTTTAGCAATCCTTTTCTTCTTGGGACTCTTAACTGTAAAATGCTATTTTTTTGTGGCCTGGTTGCAGCAATTTCTCAATAACTTAGCTGGGTTATGTGGTCAGAGCAAATAACCAGAACAGTCCTAAACCAAGTTACATACATAATTCTTTATGGCAATTTGTTTATTTGTCATATTTATACTCACCATAACCATAAGACATTCCCTTTTTTTAATCGTTTGAATCCTTGCTCATTTCCTGGAGTTAAGATTCTCTTCTTCTTTTGCTGGACTACTGTGTTGGGGTAACAGAACTATTTTTTGTTGTGTACATGTTGGAATTACTTGACTGCCATTTCTTGGTCTTTTCCCCACTCCAGATGCTAGAAATCATCTAAGTGGAATCTTCATAGGCCAGATACTGGCATCAGTTTCTGGGTCATACATTTCCGCTTTACATTCTCTGGCTTGAATTCTTTCATTTTCTTTCCATGTTCTCTGTGGTTTAGCATGGCATCCACCCTAATGCTGACTTGTGTCTCATTTAACTGACATGAGGAAGTCAGCAGTAGAATTGTAAAGCCAGTTTAGTTTATTTCAGGTCTGAATGATACTTTCTAGAACAGGGCTTTTCAACCTTTTCACCGATTGTACCACTTTTAGAATATGGCAACATTCGAGTACCACGAGTCACCTAGCAAGGTGTCAAAAACTTGATGACAAAAAAAATGGAAAAAAGTGATAAAGTACAGGTAGTCCTTGACTTACAACAGTTTGCTTAGTGACTGTTCAAAGTTACCGCGGCACTGAAAAAAGTGACATGATCATTTTTCACACTTACGACAGTTGCAGCATCCCTAGGGTCATGTGATTTACATTCAGATGCTTGGCAACCGATTCATACTTATGATGGTCACATTGTTCCAGAGTCATGTGATCGCCTTTTGCAACCTTCTGACTAGCAAAGTTAGTGGGGAAACCAGCTTCACTTAAGAACCATGTTACTAATTTAATCTCTCTCTCCCTCTCTCTTTCTCTCTCTCCCTTTCTCTCCCTCTCTATTTCTCTCTCCCTCTCTTTCTCTCTCCCTCTCTATTTCTCTCTCCCTCTCTTTCTCTCTCTCCCTCTCTTTCTCTCCATTCCTCTCTCTCTCCCTCTTTCTCTTTCTCCCTCTTTCTTTCTCCCTCTCTTTCTCTCTCCCTCTCTCTCTCCCTCTCTTCCTCCCTCCCTCCCTCTCTCTCTCCGATTGGGGATCGATTTGGAGGTGTGGAGAGGAGGGGAGTGGCCGAGGGCTGCCCGTGTGACCTTGAAGCAGCCACCTTTGGAAGTACCAATGCTGCTCCAGCCAGGCTCGAGCCGGGCAGAGCGGGTGATGGGAGAGGAGCGAGCTGATCGCCTTCCCGGCAGCTGGGACTCCGGCGTGCCTTCCCGGCCAGCAGGACCCACGGTAGAGCCGGGATTGTACAGCTCCCCGGGAAAGGGACTTCCTGGCCGCACTTCTCAGGGGGTGGGGCGCCCGGGCACAGGGCCAATCAGGAGCCCCGTGAGCGGGCAAGGCTGCATGAAGAGTTATGCCCTTTCTGTGGGGGAGGGACACGATAAGGGAGCCAACCAATCGCGGGACGTAGATTCTGACGGGCGGGCGGCCTGAGCCGAGGCTCCGGCGATCGCCTCGAGCTGCCGCCACAGCCCGATGAGACTGCGCTGTGCCCGACAGGCAGCGCGTAATGGCCAATGAGTGCCGGGCAGGGGGGGTGCTTGAGAGGTGGCTACTGAGTGTGCGGCACCACGCAGGAAGAACAGCTGACGGCAGCCTACCAGGCAGCGTGCGGGACTCCGGCGCACCCTAGGATGGCCCGCCGGCGTCATGGAAAGCGGTGCGGCAACATCACCAATGGGTGGGGCATCCCGAGGAGGCCGCCGGCACCTGGTTGAAGCAGCTGGCTGGTGCTCTGTTGTAGCCGGTTCCGCCGACGGTGGCAGGGATCCCCCACAGCTTGCGGTTTCTGCGGTGCCCGGATCGGTTTCCCACCATGCGGGCGTTGGAATGTTCGATCGGTATCGGAGCTCAGCGAGTCCAGAGCAAGGGAGCAGCCCCCGCCCACGGCTATCCCCCGAGTCACCATCAGATGCCTATCATGGGCGGGCGGCCTGAGCCAACGAGACGCCAGCAATCGCCTCGAGCCGCCGCAGCCCGATGAAACCGCGCTGCGTCCAACAGGCAGCACTTAGAGGCCAATGAGTGCTGGGCGGGGGGTGGTGCTTGAGGGGTGGCTACTGAGTGCGGCACCATTGTGGCCACTTCGATCGGTATTGAGAGTGGAGAGCGCAGAGCTGAGCTCAGCGAGCCCGGAGCAAGGGAGCATCCCCCCGCCCATGGTCGGCCCCCGAGTCACCGTTCTGATCAGCATCAGCAAAACAAACGGCCTCGATTCCCACCTGCTGCCACGGGATGAGTCCTCCTGGAGGGCGCGCGCCGTCTGGCCGCTTTGCTTTCTCCTCCCTAAAGCCGGGCACCTCGGGAAGAGGAGAGGGGGGAAAGACTCGAGCCCCAGGAGGCAATGTGAGGGCCATGAGGGGTATCGCAAGCTCGCGGGAGGGGGGGGAAGAGGAAAAGAAAATGGAAGAGAGTGAGGCCGCAACAGAGAGAGAGAAGGGGAAAAAGAAGGAGGGGCAGTTGTGAGGTTGGTGCTCAGGGCCGCGACGCGAGCGGTCTCAAACACCTACCTGCGAGTGGATAGCTCTGTCCCCTTCAGGCTCGCACTTGCTTCTGAAGTAAGAAGGGGGGGAAGGGCAACACGGATCCTGCATGAGTTCCTGGGGAGGGCGGGGCCTCGCTCTGCGCCTGCGCTCTTCGTGCGCCCTCAGTAGGGTTCCTGCAGGCCGTCGCCAAGCTTCATGTTTTCAATTTCAACAAGCGAGCTGGGAAGGAGGGGGGGTAGGAAGTCAACGCCGCGGGGGGGTAGGAAGGCGATGCCGCGTACCACCAGCCAGGTCGTCGCGTACCACTAGTGGTACGCGTACCACCGGTTGAAAAGCCCTGTATTAGAGGCCACTGTGCATAGAAAACACTTAAATGGGCTATGCTCATGTCTAAAAACAAATTATAAATATATTATTTCATTATAGAAGCAAAAGTGTCAGAAAATCCCAAGCAGCCAGATTCTTGGCTTAGAATATTTGCTGAATCTAAACGTCCACAAAAAAGTAAACCAAAAATAAGGGATACAAATGTTTTCTTTTTTTAAAAAAATCCACATTTAATCTACCCATTAAAACAACCTAATTAGGTTCAAGTATATGCAGGCATCCTTTTACTGTTTTATTTCATTTTTAATATGGAAAGTCATTTAAGATAATGTATACTAGTAAAACACCGTTACTATTATGAAAAGTACCACTTGATGTTTGTTTTTTAAATCTTCGATGGTTTTATTCAAAATCCTATCTCTTGTTTAAATGGCAGCTATAAAACTGTTCTTTAAAGAAAAAATAAAAACATTCTATGGTAGATTGACATTTTACTTTTGACATGTAATTTCTCATAGTCTGCTGGGACAAATGTGAAAAAACTTAAGAAGCAGCCCAAATCTATGTTCTACTTCCAATTTACTAATTATGTTTATATATTGTATATTTCATAAAATTATGGCTTTTTAAGTGTCTGTATAAGACAAAAATTGCATATCTATTCATTAACTTCCTCCAGATTTTTTTTTTCTCATACACAGTGTGCTCTTTATTTTTTCCTTTTATTAATATAGGGATCCTTTAAGAATTCAGCAGCTACAGAACCAAATCCGGCTGGAAAAAGAAGCAGACCAGTGGTGTCATCAGAAGCAAACTGGTTTCCTTCAGAATCTTCCCTTGTCCCCAACTTTTCTCCCTCCATTTTCATTCCAAGAACTTGAGTCCAGCCATTCTCCTTCTCCTGTGCAAATGAGTATTTTGAATTCTCATTCTGCTCCTACCATGCAGACATCCAGTTCTTTCAACTATGCCCGTCCTAAACAATTTATTGCTGCACAAAATATTAGCCCTGCTTCAAGTTATGTAACGCCGTCACCTGGCTCTTCCACATCTAGTCTCCCATCCCCAATGTCTCCAACTGCTTCTGAGAAGCAGTTTGGTAAAACATCTGTCCCCTCTTTCTCTCAGACTTTTGCTCCTGAGGAAGAGTATCCGTGGTCTCCTTCCCCACCTCCTCCCCCTCCCCCTCCCCCTGTTTTTAGTCCTACATCTACTTTTTTAGTGGCAGATTCCTTTCCACTGCCACCACCTCCACCTCCTCTCCCAGCTTCTGTCCCCTCGCCTTCCCGCAGTTTTTCTCCAACACCCAGATTATCCAGCTCTAGTCAGTCTCCAGCAGCCTTCCTCAGCTCCATGCTACCATCTCAGCCACCTCCAATGTCAGTTAATGCACTAGGACTTCCCAAAAGTGTTACACCGTCGTAAGTATGAACATTTGATGAACTTCTCAAAAAATAGTTTTTTATTTATTTACTCTTAATTTTGATAGGCATGAATTCATTGTATGTACAGTGAGTGGGAAAAATTATTTGATCCCCTGCTGATTTTGTACATTTGCCTACTGACAAAGAAATGATCAGTCTATAATTTTAACAATAGGTTTATTTTAACTTATTTCACTCATTAAAATGCAAATCATTTATAACTTTTTTGAAATGCGTTTTTCTGGATTTTTTTGTTATTCTGTCTCTCACTGTTAAACCTACCATTAAAATTATAGACTGATCATTTCTTTGTCAGTGAGCAAATGTACAAAATCAGCAGGGGATCAAATATTTTTCCCTCACTGTACAAAATCTAAATAACTATATTTTTTACTGTAGAAGAATGAGAAATGTTTTTCATAATTTTTTATTAGGAAAATTCTGCTGTTGTTTGTTTGATTTACAACATGGATAAAAATTGATACTTTTCTGATTTTATCTCATTTTCAATTATGCAAAATGTAATAGTCAAGATTTCTAATAATTTAATATTCTGTATCAGGAATCTATATGCAAGTTTCATTTGAAGGGGACAGAAATGTTTATTATTGCGAACTGAGCCCTTTGATGATGAATAATTCAGCCTCGTTCCTTGAAACCCCCTTTTTCAAAAAGTCCTTATGTATATGATAAACTAACTGGAATACTATGCCATATATAAATTATTTTCAGTACAAATCCTTTGGCAGAATAGATCTACATGGAAACATTTGCCTTAGTTTGTTGCATTTCTCTACTGCTAAATTTATTCCTAAATCTATCTCCCATATTTCCCTATCACCTTAAAGATCCTCATGTTATACATTGACTAACATTTTATGACTTATTCATGTTAAGATGATTTTGGTTTTTAGGTTACTTCATTTTAATTATTTGAAATTTATTTAAATTCTTGGTTCCTGCTCCTATTTTAATTTTTTAATTTAAAGGGAGCAAGAAAAGTAACTTGCAGTATAACCAAAAAGATCTCTTCTCTCTTACAAAAGTCCTCAGTTGTTTTTTTAAAAAACAAAACAAAACTCTGTTTACTTCCATTTATTCTGTGTGGTCTTCTCCATATTACTATTAAGATTCAAAAATAAAATATTAGTCTACCCTATATACATCTAATCTATCAATCAATCAATCTCTTTTAGATAACAAGATAATATCAAACCTTAAATCATTTCAGTCCATTGGACATCCATATTATCAGTCAAAAACATCATCTTACTAAATTAACATACTCGATTAATTATTGAGTCAATCCAGATCTAAAACGCCTCTTCAATTTTCTTCATTCCATTACATAGTAGTTTTCATACAAATAACCTATTATTCCCAAAAATACATTCTTAATCTATTTAAGATATATATTCTAATAATCACCCATTTTTCTCTTACTTCTAACTCTAAATCTTAATCTTTAAATCAGTCCATAATTCTACAGTGCCTTTGATCCATTACATATAATTTTAAATTTCTCTTTTCAGTCTTATTCTGGCCTTCTTTTTGTGCCAGGCAGGTTTCCATAACAAAGCTTCCCTTTCAGCCGATAGGTCTCTCTTTGTTGCTTGTAGTGTCATTTGAGACAGTAAAAAGCATCCCGTCCTCTGCATTGAGCGTCTATTTCTCTTATCCTTAAAGCCTCGTTGCTTTAAAGGTTCAAATCTCAGTCTTTGATTTTTCTGATCCTCGAAAATATAGATGAAATGCTTGTAAGGTAAAATAAATTCCTCTTTAATCTCAATTGATTTCTCTTCTAGTATGTTTTGGTTTATAGAATGGTCAGATGTAGTCTGAAAGTCAGTTTGAAGGTTTGGAGTAAGGCTTCTGGCTCTTAATTCTGTAGTAATCTCTTTCATTGTAGCACATATTTCTTCAGTAGCCTCATAAATCTTTTCCAATATAAGTTTACAGTTTAATTGTGAATGAGGTTTCTCCATTTTAATAGTAATTGAAGAGAGTCCCTTTTTTCTTTTAGTGGAGGCTGTATTTAATAAAAGTTAAGCAATATCCCCACAATTCCCACAGCTGCATCATCTTATCTTTTCTCTTCAAGAGTAGTTTGAAGGTCAAGTACATCTCATCTCCAAACAATAACCAGCAGTTGCAATATTAACTTTTTGCTACTAGATGTCCTCAGTAGATTAAAAAAATCTTTTCCAGACACCATTTCTCCCCCCCCCTTTTTTTCTACCTTTTAAAGGAAAAAATGGAAAAAGAAATAATCTTCCAGTGTAAAATAATAGTACAGCTCTTAGAAAAGAGTTTTTTCTGTACCCCAAAGTAAATGAGAATAGGTGAAGTCTTTAAAAAAAAATTTCTATCCTTTTGTTTAGCGCCTTTCTTCCCACGCATACAAAAGCTGCTTTTTCAAGACAGGAAAATAATTCCAAAAGCTTTTACAGGCAAAAAAAAAAAACAGAATAGGGTGAAGAGAGGAGCAGAAGGGGTCTCACCCGGATCATCCGCGGTGGGTCTATCACGCTTAGATGTAGCTGTGCTTTCGGCTGGTGCAGCAGAGTAATCGGCCATCTTGCAGGACGATCTTTGCTCGGTCGGCCCTAAGGAGATAGCTGGAGCCACGAGAGAAGCTGCCGCCCTCCTGCAGTCACCAGCAAGCCTCCTCCTCGGTGGTCGCCCCTCCAGGGCGACTTTTGACCCACTAAGAGGTTTACCGGCGAAGAAAACCCGGCCGGTGTGGAGACAAGTCTCTAATCACAACCGGAGTCGCCGCGAACCAGAGATATAGGAGATATAGTGTGTAGTGGAAGAAGAAATAAACGAGACTTGTGATAAAATTAAGGATTTAAGAGATCAAGAACTAGAATATATCCGGAAGGGATACCTGAATTGATAATGTGTTTATTTAAAGTTAAATTTGATTATGGTAATTGTAAATTTACAAAGCTCTAAAACAGGTTTAGGATTTATAGAAATTTAAATTAGAAATGGATTATTTTAAATATATTATGCTATTTGAGGGAAATAGAGAGGGAATATTTGATGTATTTATTTGAGTTATTCATATATGGTTTTATTTCTGGATGTTTGATTACCCCAGCACTACGGTGTGTCTTGAGCACTTTGTTCTAAGAATTAAAAAACCAATAAAATTTGTTTTAAAAAAAAAGATTCAAAAAGATGGATACTAACTGCAAGGAGGCATGAGAAAAGGAATATATTTTATGCAGTTTTGAACAAGAATATTTTTATGCCTAATACAGGTAATCCCCGAGTTACTTAACACTCATTCGAAGTTATGCAATCAGCGCCCCCTAGTGTTTATGAGCAAGTCCCAAAATTACAAATATTGCAGCACCATGGCAGTTGTTTGTCCTTATGATGGACTGTAGAGGCTCTGCAACATTTGCTCTATCCCCCCCACTCCTCAAAATTGCTTCCCCCTCCCTTCCTGCCGTGCCAGACTCACTTACCTTGCAAAATCTGTCTCCTCTCTTGCTGCAGTTTCTTTCCTTTGAGGGAGAGGAGAAAAGCTTGCAAAAGTTTTCTTTTCATGCTAACAGTGGAAGCTCCTGTGCGCCATAATATTGCGCACTTTCAAAAACCCATTCTTTGTGAAAGAGATCATAGCCCCCAGAAGCTTCCATTCTTGGGGGGGGTGTTTGCTTTGTTTGCACATCTGTGGGGCAAAGCGTGGAATCGGAGTTGGCCGGGCGCAGGAACCAATAGTGTCCGTGGCCCGGCTGAGCGGCTCACTCACCTTCAACTGAGCGGGGAGGCATTGTGGAGCCAGATTCCTTGCACCCGCATCCAAGCCGGCAGCGGTGACAACCACCTGAGCAGCCAGGATCCCTCTCCCCAGCCAACCATCCATCCCACCCGACCTCCTTGCCTGGCCAACCGTTGGCACAAATCCTCACCGCTCTTCTCCTCCTCCAGGTTCTCTTCACTCAAGCGGCAGCAACAGCTTGGGTTTCTCAGCTCCGTCCGAGTGGAAGAAAGTGGAGGCACAGCAGCAGGATTCCTCTCAAACAATAAGACCCGGATGCACTGCTTGCTCACATGCACCGGCTTTATTGAGAGCAATCCCACTGCTGCGTCTCCGCTCTCTTCCACTCAGAGCCAAGAAACCCAAGCCGCTGCCGCTCATAAACTTTTTATCAGAAGGGCGACCTTGGGGAAACTGGATTCTCCCTCTGTGAGCAAACGGGGCAGTTCAAAACGAAGCAAATCGCTTCATTTTCAAAGGCCACATAGGTGCACATAAACTTTTTATTGGAAGAGAGACCTTGAGGAAACTGGATTCCCTGTCTCTGAGCAAATGGGGCTGTTCAAAATGAAGCAAATTTGCTGTGTTTTCAAGCATTGCATTTGCACACAGAAGGAGCTCCCCACCTCCCCAAGTTCTCTGTTCAGAGAAAAGGTGTATGGGAGCCTTGGATATGCAGCAATTCACTGAGTTTTCAAGCGTGCATTCATACACAGAAGGAGCTCCCCATCTCCCCAAGGTCTCCATTCAAATGAAACGTGTTTGAGCAGCAGCAGCAGTGGTTTGAATTTCTCCACTCCATCTGAGTGGAAGGAAACAGAACGAGCAATGCACCCACATCTTCTTGAGAACAATCCTACTCTGCCCCTCCAATTTCTTTCTTAAGGACAGAGTGGAGAAACTCAAGCCGCTGCCACCACTTGAGTTGGGAGGACGACAAGAAGAAGAGCGGTCAGGATTTGGGCTACCGGCCAGTCAGGCAAGGAGTAGGTCGGGAGGGCTGGGTGGCTGGCTGGGGAAGGGAGATCGTGGCCTCTCAGGTGGTTGCCACCAGCAGCTTGAATGCAGGTGCATGGTGACTCGCCCCACGACTCCCCGCTTAGTTGAAGGCTTCATTCCTGCCCTCAAATTAAGGTCAGCATATGCGACCAATAATTTCACCCAGGCATTGGTTCCTGTGCCTGGCTAATTCCGAGTCCACACTTTGCCCCATAGGCAAGCA